TGTGCTGGACAATTGAAAATCCAGTGATGGCAGTCGCCATTAACAGGTAGCATTTCAGGGCTGTGTTTCTGAACCAGTTCTCATTGCTTCAATTTGCAACATACCGAAACTGGAACTGAATTAAACTGACAGAAAATGTAAACATGGTACACATTTATGTCTTGTTCAAGCAGGACCAGGTACAACAGCAATGAGAATGGATATTTTCCTTTTCAGCTGAAACTTATTTGCAATGGAGTGTGGTCCATAATTCGGGGGTGTTTGAAGGGGAAGCCATCAGATTTTAACAAATTTGTGGTCACTAAAATTTGCAGAAATTTGCGGATGGATGGAGGATTCTCATCCCTGCTACAAACACTGAGGACTAGTCAAAAGAATTCAAGAAGTGTTCTCCACTAGTCTTGAATTATTTAAAAAAATTCTAAATGTGTGGCCTTGAGACAAACAGATACCTCTCTCACACATCTGGGAGTTGCCCAAGCGACTACAGACCATGCATAAATTTGTACTTTAAAATCACCACCTGATATTTTCTTTCAGAAAATGAGGCACAATTCCAACAAACAAGGTACTACTTTGTGATGGCCTTATTTCCATATATCATTAATATCACAGCACAAAGATGATAAAACAATAACTGTAGCCTGTTTCTAATGTGGATACACAAAGAGAGAGAGAGAGAGAGAGAGAGAGAGAGAGAGAGAGAGAGGGTGAGAGAGAGAGAGAGAGGGAGGGAGTGAGAGGGAGAGAGAGAGGGAGGGAGTGAGAGGGAGGGAGAGAGAGATAGAGAGAGAGAGGGAGGAGAGGGAGAGAGAGGGTGAGAGAGAGAGAGAGAGAGGGAGAGAGAGGGAGAGAGAGGGTGAGAGAGAGAGAGAGAGGGAGAGAGAGGGTGAGAGAGAGAGAGAGAGAGAGAGAGTGAGAGGGAGGGAGAGAGGGAGGGAGAGGGTGAGAGAGAGAGAGAGAGGGAGAGAGAGGGTGAGAGAGAGAGAGAGAGAGAGAGTGAGAGGGAGGGAGAGAGGGAGGGAGAGGGTGAGAGAGAAGGAGAGAGAGAGAGGGAGGGAGAGAGAGGGAGAGAGAGAGGGGGAGAGAGAGGGGAGAGAGAGAGAGAGAAAGAGAAATTACTTTTTAAAATATTTTATACTTTATGTGTTTTCACATTTGAGGTTGTTATCGAATATGCGCTGTGCAGATATTTTATAATTTGAAGGTCTGGTAACTAGTTCATTGGCATTGTTTTTTTATCATACTGAGTAATACCAAAATTGGGATTCATTCGTCACCACTCACCCCTTTCCATAACCTGCAGGAACACTCGTCCCCTATCGACAAATGTTATGTGCGACAAACCGATCAGAATGCGCATATGACATCAGGTACTTCGAACAAAGAATACCTCAGGAATAATTTTTTGATTTTACAAATGTCTTGCATCTAAAAATATACCCCAGATACAGTTAAATATGTTCAATCATACTGTATAAATACCTTAAGTCGAGATGTGTTTTTAAAACCATCTGGAATATATATGACATGAGGGAAATATACATGAACCATTACGCAACAAGTTGACAATTCTTTTAACTGTGCCCATTTGCTCTTAGACGGAACCCATATTACCTCTAAAAATTCAACACAAAATGGAACTATAAGTCAATAAATGAATGAATGAGTTTGCTTTTAGCAATATTCCAGCAATATCACAGCGGGGGACACCAGAAATGGGCTTCACACATTGTACCCATGTCGGGAATCGAACCCGGGTCTTCAGCGTGACTAGCGAACGCTTTAACCACTAGGCTACCCGACCGCCCCAGTCAATAAAAGGGTAAGCATATCTTGTATCATTATAACTAAACAGTTACAGTGTACAGGACAAACACTAATTAATTAATATAAATAACGAACTGAATCCTATAATAATAACAGAAATCGGTTCTCAGTTAAACTGAGAATAAAACAATATAAACTCGGGATATGTATGAGTATAACATGTTGATAGTAAAATCATATTTGACTTTAGATAAATCTCCACCTTTTCTAACACATACTATGCTGGCCAAAGTTGCTATAATCGTATGTACATATATATAAAAATGAGAATCCATCATCAATTGTGCTGGGAATAATACAGATCAAGTTTATGATGAATATATACATATGGACGCAATATGACACTCAACAGACTCATACACTAGGTCACAGTGACATGAACTGATTTACATAATTCAGTGAGTGAGTGAGTGAATCGGGTTTAATGCCAGTTTGAACAGTATTGCAGTAACATCATGCGTGTCTAATTTATGAGGGAGGAAAGCCTGAAGTGATGCATGTTCTAGATGTTTACCTCTCACCTCTGTGGGAGGAAAGCCCCAAGTCTCAGACGTTTACCACTTGGGTGAAACCAACGAGCACGGGTATGGTGCGGACAAACCTAGAAACATAATCTGGGCGAACCGGTATTCGAACCCACAATCATAGGTTTCTGGCATGCCCGAGGGATGCAACTCTGAACAACAAATCATGGCGCCTAAGATGACTGAGCCACCTGTGCCCCCTGTAAAACTTGAGTTTATTAAAAATGCAAGTAAATTTTGGGAGCCATGCGTTACCGTGCGCTATAACCGAGTTAGTGCTATATTGAAGGCCGCAATAGCGAGGTACCACACATGACTAACACCTATTGGACCAGAGTCTTTATCTGTGATCAAAGTAGTTTTTGTCCGACTTTCCATACCCTGCTGGAATTTCCCACGGAAGAACATGTCCCCACTATCTCATGTGATTGGTTGGTAACAATGTCTGACCGGCCGATTGTGCAGACATTTGACTGCGAGATCAGTGCTACTCATGGTTTCCATCACTGGTTTTCCTGCCAAAACGTGACTATTTTCATGAACACCTGGTATCATCACTATTTGAAAGTAATTCATAACCACATGATATAGTTGGAATCGTACTCGGCAGCAGAGACTTACCGTATTCGACGTAATAAGCACCCTGCTCTCACAAGCGCCCACAGCAATATTTGCTAATATATTGCTAGTGAACAATCTCAATTAGCACCCCTTCCGATTGATAAATGTACACAAGACTTATTTATTCGTGTATAAGAAGCACTTGTGTGTTATATGCATTCTTAATTATGGGCAATCAAACTCTGGAAAATATATCTGTCGTGTATAATACACACAGACTTTTCTTTTGAATCCCTCAGGCTGTCAGCATAAACCACGAAATTTACGGTTTTTCAACTCCAAACTCCAACACCAAAATTTTATTCTAATCGGAGCCCCCTATTTATAATTTTGAGAGCACCCTAGGCGCTTATTGCGTCGAATACGGTACCCCGAGAAACAGTATTTTGTTTTAGGTAGCCTAATTAGCATTCTGGACGTACATACCTCATTGCTTCACAATACAAACAGCTGTCTATAGCAGTCACTCATGGGTAATTTATATGTAAATCATAAATTACATCAACTTTGCAAAACCAAAATTAATTGTACAATTGGCATTCATCCAGGAAACGGAAATTATTCCACAGGGATAAAATGTTATATTCATTTGCATATTCATAATTTATTTATCATTTTTTCTCCAAATATATTCGATTCCAAGGTAAACGATTAAATGACTTCATATTTATTCAAATTAAATATTTTTCAAGACTTGTTTTTTTAAAAGTACTAAGCACGTTTTAACCTGCCACATCCAGGTATTGTTTAAAATACAACACACACATTCAGTTTATTGTAGATGGACTCTTGGCCCTAACCCACAGAGCAATATCACCGTGACCTTGCAATATCAAGTCCCTCCCTCACAGACACGCATTTCTTTTTGTCATATTTTTTCTTTTCATCCGATTCTACTTTTCATATGACCCACTATTGAGATTCTGTCAGATTCTGTCCAACTTCAAAAACATGAAAATTTAAGAAGCATAAAATAAACAATGACATTCCATTGAAATGGCATCAAATAACACAGAAATATTTGTGAAGAAAATCTGTAACGTCATGTTTTTTCCAAGTAATTTTTATAGCTGTTGACACACATTCTTCACCTAAGAAATACAAAAAGGCTTTGCGCAGTGTCAAAATTTAAATACCATATTGGTATGATATTTCAGAATGGTCAATTAACCTGAAAATGTTTCCAATTCAGCTTCAGTTTGCAGATAAGTCGAGTTTGAATGACTTGATTCAAACTGGCTTGGATTGCAATCTTGCTGAGCTAGCACCTTTTTAAAGCTTTGTTGAAAGGAGTTTTAAAGGAAGTCATTGAGTGATACCCAAAGGCTGGAAGACCTAAACTATCACATGATCCAGTATGTCACAATGTCCCCCTGTCTGCACATAAAACCAGAGTTATTACAACCACTAATACAACCTGATTGAACGTATCTACCAAAACAAGGACTTAAGTATGGGTATACAAGTCAATGATGTTAGGAATAGCCCAATACAGGGAATACACGCTAGTCTGCTAGCCTGCTAGACTGAGACTACTAAATTGTGCTGAGGACAAGTAACAATCCAATGATGCTAGTCCTCTTGACTGATAACATTTGAGGGCAGTAATTCTGAACCAGTTCTCAATGCTTCGATGTTTCTACAAATGGAAACAGAACTTAGGTGACAGAAAATGTAAACAAAGTAAACAGTGTTGTCTTGTTCAAGCAGGACTAGCTACAAATTTGTAGATTGAAATGAAGTTTCCTCTTGTCCTCTTGACTAGTTTTAAAAAAAAGATACAAAATTCTAAGGCAGCAATTCTGTAATCCATGTTTTGTGATTAATCAGCACTTGGAGTGACTGAGTGAGTTGGGTTTAATGCTGCTTTTAACAGTATTCCAGTTATATCGTGGCGTGTCAGCTTAATGAGGGAGGAAAGCCCGAAGTGATGCAGGTCTCAGACGTTTACCACTTGGGTCAAACCCACGAGCATGGGTATGGTTCTGACAAACATAGAAACATAATCGGGGCGAACTGGGATTTGAACCCACAATCATAGGTTTCTGGCATGCCTAAGGGACACAACTCTGCACAGCGAAACGCGGTGCCTTAGACAACTGGGCCACCCATGCACCCACCAGCACTTGGAAGAACCTCGCAATGGCTACCTTTAACCATCGACTAAATAACCTGGACAGGAAACGCCACTGAAAGCCTCTGGTCAACTCCGCCACACTACTGCAGAATGTTCATCCAACTCTGCAGGTACATTCCCATTTTATCTGAATCAACGGGAGATGGGGGAGAAAAAGTGAATACAGCTGACTGCTATTTCTGGCTTTGATTACAAGAAGATACACACATTAATTTTAACCACTGCATATAAAACACTGCACTGCCCAGCAGAACAGGAAATACAATATAAATGGTAAATAATCATGTGTTGTGATGTTTTATCACAAATTTCAAGTTTGTTATCACGTGTTCGTCTACCCGAAGGGATATGATGTAGTTTTTATTGTATTTTCTTGAGTATAGTGCGTACCCATGTATAATGCGCACCCCCCTCTAGCTGATTCACTATTTTGAAGGGAAAAAAACTGAATACCAAGCGTACCCCTTTAGCGAAGTCCGGCAAACGAACGGGTGATGAGAAACTTGGTCAGTACAAATTCGAAATTTGAGATAAAAAATCACCAGACATGTTGATTTACTGTTTAAATTGTATTTTTTGTTCTGATAGGCATTGTTTTATATCCAGGGATTAAGATTACCTTGTGTATTTTCTCGTAACTGCCCATAATACCCCCAAAATTCTTATTTTTCTCCAAAACTTGCATCCCCCAGACTGTACAAACTAGAAAAGAAGAAGTAAACAAAAATATGGTGCATTTTATCCGAGTTAATAATTTGGACACAAGTAGGAGTAGGGGAAAAATGATGACTCAGAGTATATTATTTTTTCACAAACATTATTCATGTTCATAATTCATATAATGTAATTTAATTACCGAATTAATTAGAGGCCGGATGTTTTGGTCACCAGGGAAGTTAAAGGTAAGCTCTATTGTACATGCGCCGTAAGTTTGGCACCTGTCATTGGCATCAATCTAGCGGGATACTGATAACATGGGGTTCGGATTACAATACGTTCAGGAAAACTGTAGTGTTTCCTATGCAGGTTATTGAACTCCTTGCTTTAACCATATGATATAATCTACAAATGTACCAAGTAACTATGGTAACGATGGTAACGATGGTAACTATGGCATCCAGTTGGGGAAGTTAAAGAGATTCAAGCTGTCCTTGTGTTTGTGGTTGGGATCTCCAGGAATCTGGAAACAGTCGACCGGGAAAGATCCGATCGTCTTGTTATAAAGATTGAGGCTGAAGTCCGTGCAGCCCAGTAGCTGCGTCTTATGTTCATGATGGAAGTTCACTTTGAACGTCAGGTTGAAGAAGTGGATGCAGATGTCTACAACCTTTGGATACGTCCCCAAGCACACAAGGGGAGGTAACTCAGCTGCAACAAAGATATTGCATAATCACTAACATGTTTTGATTGATTGTTTGTTGTTTAACGCCGTACTCAGCAATATTCCAGCTATTTGACGGTGGTCTGTAAATAATCGAGTCTGGACCAGACAATCCAGTGATTGACATCATGAGCTCGATCCACGCAATTGGGATCGACAAGAATAGTCGCCTTTTAGTGCAAGTATGGGTCGCTGAAGACCTATTCTACCCCGGATCTTCACGGGTCTACTAACATGTGTAAAAGTATAACGATATATATCGAACTATCCATTTATTGCAATTGTGTGCCTTACAATGGTACTATATTGACAGGAATATAACGCCAGTATTGTTGATAGTATGCATAACAATCTATACTTTCAATAGTCGCAATTAGTCGACATTCAAATGTGCTGAGTGTAGGGCTAACAACTTTAGTGTACCTTCATATTGGTTTGTTTGTTTGTTTGTTTGTCGTTTAATGCCGCATTCAGCAATATTCCAGCTATATGACAGCGGTCACTACAATACTATAACAATAGCTGACAACCATCTCCTTAACCTTATCTCCCATATAATGAGTGTCAAAGTTATCAGCTTCTCCATACATCCCCACCAGCCACAGGCTACTACAACCTGAAGCGTTTCAGTGCAATCAGACATGAACAAATATTCATCGAGGGCAGCCGAGCAGAACACTGATACAGTTAATGTGGAAATGACACAACAACAATTTGTCTGTGCAAGAACAAAGCAAGAAAACAGCTGAAACTGATCACATGAATTAATAGGTGGAATGTGGAGGTTGTCCAGGATAGACACCATTGGTCAAATCCAACTACATAGTTAGCAGATTTCAGACTGCCTGCTTATGTAACAAAATTTATACCAAAAAATAAATTTGGGGAAAAAAAGACAGTGCCTTTGATTTTTTGCATGTCTAAGTAAGCAATATTCAAGGTATATCACTGCAGCCTGTAAATATGCTGTAGTCAGCAATATTGCGGCTATATCATGGCACCCTGTAAATATGCTGCAGTCAGCAATATTCCAGCTGTATCACTGCAGCCTGTTAATATGCTGTAATCAGCAATATTCCAGCTGTATCACTGCAGCCTGTAAATATGCTGTAGTCAGCAATATTCTAGCTATATCACTGCAGCCTGTTAATATGCTGTAGTCAGCAATATTCTAGATGTATCACTGCAGCCTGTAAATATGCTGTAGTCAGCAATATTCTAGCTATATCACTGCAGCCTGTAAATATGATGTACTCAGCAATATTCAAGCTATATCACTGCTGCCTGTTAATATGCTGTAGTCAGCAATATTCCAGCTATATCACTGCTGCCTGTAAATATGCTGTAGTCAGCAATATTCCAGCTATATCACTGCTGCCTGTAAATATGCTGTAGTCGGCAATAGTCCAGCTATATCACTGCAGCCTGTAAATATGCTGTAGACAGCAATATTCAAGCTATATCAATGCTGCCTGTAAATATGCTGTAGTCAGCAATAGTCCAGCTATATCACTGCAGCCTGTTAATATGCTGTAGTCAGCAATATTCCAGCTATATCACTGCTGCCTGTAAATATGCTGTAGTCAGCAATAGTCCAGCTATATCACTGCAGCCTGTTAATATGCTGTAGTCAGCAATATTCCAGCTATATCACTGCAGCCTGTTAATATGCTGTAGTCAGCAATATTCCAGCTGTACCATTGCTGCCTGTAAATATGCTGTAGTCAGCAATATTCCAGCTGTATCACTGCTGCCTGTAAATATGCTGTAGTCAGCAATAGTCCAGCTATATCACTACTGCCTGTAAATATGCTGTAGTCAGCAATATTCCAGCTGTATCACTGCTGCCTGTTTTGTATTCAAGGCTCCGAAGACAATCCAGTGGTCGATACCATGAGAAACTCCATACCAGCATGGCTTTGGGGTGGAGGTGGGGATGGGAATAGACTCAGAACCTGAACCTGTAGAAAATCTAGACTTGCTTCATTTAGCATGTTTTGGGCTACAGCATAACAGTAAGGGCTGGGCAGAAGGGAAAATAATATGGTTCAGCGACTGAGAAACAGATCAAGTTGATACTGTTATCACCTTGACCAATCACAAACAACAAATGTGCCAACATAAGTTCACACTATCATGTTAACAGATTGAGATATATATATATATTAAACATATTTGATAACTGATCATGTACACCTTAACATAATTATGGAATAGTGATTGATTCATTATAACAACTATTATACACACCTGACACAACATTTTTGTAGATCGGCTTCGAGTCCAATAAAACTTCCAAGACTATTTCCTGAAACATAAAATCAAAATCATGTTTATGGCTGCACTGCAGCTAAATGAATACCCAGGAGTTCCCATGGTTCCCCGAAATCTCCTTCAGCATACTAAGCCTACCCACTCTGAAATCTCCTTCAGCATATTAAGCCTACCCACTCTGAAATCTCCTTCAGCATATTAAGCCTACCCTCTCTGAAATCTCCTTCAGCATATTAAGCCTACCCACTCTGAAATCTCCTTCAGCATAGTAAGCCTACCCTCTCTGAAATCTCCTTCAGCATTGAAGCCTACCCTCTCTGAAATCTCCTTCAGCATACTAAGCCTACCCTCTCTGAAATCTCCTTCAGCATTGAAGCCTACCCACTCTGAAATCTCCTTCAGCTTACTAAGCCTACCCACTCTGAAATCTCCTTCAGCATTGAAGCCTACCCTCTCTGAAATCTCCTTCAGCATTGAAGCCTACCCTCTCTGAAATCTCCTTCAGCATATTAAGCCTACCCTCTCTGAAATCTCCTTCAGCATTGAAGCCTACCCTCTCTGAAATCTCCTTCAGCATTGAAGCCTACCCACTCTGAAATCTCCTTCAGCATACTAAGCCTACCCTCTCTGAAATCTCCTTCAGCATTGAAGCCTACCCTCTCTGAAATCTCCTTCAGCATTGAAGCCTACCCTCTCTGAAATCTCCTTCAGCATATTAAGCCTACCCTCTCTGAAATCTCCTTCAGCATTGAAGCCTACCCTCTCTGAAATCTCCTTCAGCATTGAAGCCTACCCTCTCTGAAATCTCCTTCAGCATTGAAGCCTACCCTCTCTGAAATCTCCTTCAGCATATTAAGCCTACCCACTCTGAAATCTCCTTCAGCATACTAAGCCTACCCACTCTGAAATCTCCTTCAGCATACTAAGCCTACCCACTCTGAAATCTCCTTCAGCATACTAAGCCTACCCACTCTGAAATCTCCTTCAGCATACTAAGCCTACCCACTCTGAAATCTCCTTCAGCATACTAAGCCTACCCACTCTGAAATCTCCTTCAGCATACTAAGCCTACCCACTCTGAAATCTCCTTCAGCATACTAAGCCTACCCTCTCTGAAATCTCCTTCAGCATACTAAGCCTACCCACTCTGAAATCTCCTTCAGCATACTAAGCCTACCCACTCTGAAATCTCCTTCAGCATACTAAGCCTACCCACTCTGAAATCTCCTTCAGCATATCAAGCCTACCCACTCTGAAAATTCCTTCAGCATATTAAGCCTACCCACTCTGAAATTCCCTTCAGCATACTAAGCCTACCCACTCTGAATTTTCTCCTTCAGCATATTAAGCCTACCCACTCTGAAATCCCCTTCAGCATATTAAGCCTACCCACTCTGAAAATTCCTTCAGCATATTAAGCCTACCCACTCTGAAATTCCCTTCAGCATACTAAGCCTACCCACTCTGAAATCTCCTTCAGCATATTAAGCCTACCCACTCTGAAATTCCCTTCAGCATACTAAGCCTACCCACTCTGAAATCTCCTTCAGCATACTACGCCTACCCACTCTGAAATCTCCTTCAGCATACTAAGCCTACCCTCTCTGAAATCTCCTTCAGCATTGAAGCCTACCCACTCTAAAATCTCCTTCAGCATACTAAGCCTACCCACTCTGAAATCTCCTTCAGCATACTAAGCCTACCCACTCTGAAATCTCCTTCAAGCCTATCTACCCGGAAATCTCCTTCAAGCCTATCTACCCGGAAATCTCCTTCAAGCCAATCTACCCGGAAATCCCCTTCAAGCCAATCTACCCGGAAATCCCCTTCAAGCCAATCTACCCGGAAATCCCCTTCAAGCCAATCTACCCGGAAATCCCCTTCAAGCCAATCTTCCCGGAAATCCCCTTCAAGCCAATCTACCCGGAAATCCCCTTCAAGCCAATCTACCCGGAAATCCCCTTCAAGCCAATCTACCCGGAAATCCCCTTCAAGCCAATCTACCCGGAAATCCCCTTCAAGCCGATCTACCCGGAAATCCCCTTTACGATTTAAGCATGTTGCTTATCAACCCTGAATCCCCCAGAGGTACTTGAGTCTTATTTCGCATCAAGAATTAACAAGGCATGACTTATTTGTTTGTTGTTTAAAGCTGCAGTCAGCACTATTCCAGCTACATAAGAGCGACCTGCGCATAATTACGTCTGAATATAATGAGCCACATCCCCTGCCATCAGGTTATAATTAGCCATCGTGTACGATGACACACAATCAACCACGTCACCCAGCTGGACCATTTTGACCAACTCATGCATTTAATCATCTAATTGGACACACAGGTCACTGGAACTAATTCTATTCTGACATTGACATGTGGAATTCACTCTCTACTTGTTTATTTACAGGCCACTGTGTAATTTTCAGGAATTTGGCTGACTGCAAGTTAAACAATACCCACATGGTATTAAGCATATGTCATTCCACATTAGACCTGTGAAGACCTGGGGTAGAATAGGTCTTCAGCAACCCATGCTTGCCGTAAAAGGTGACTATGCTTGTCGTAAGAGGTGACTAAAGGGATCGGGCGGTCAGGCTCGCTGACTTGGTTGATGCATGTCATCATATCCCAATTGCGTGGTTCGATATTCATATGTCAATCACTTGATTGTCTGGCCTAGACTCAATTCTTTACAGACCGCCGTGATATAGCTGGAATATTGCTGAGTGAGGCGTTAAACAACAAACAAACAAACAAACATTCCACATTACCTGTGATTTAGAAACAAATGTGAAGTTAGTACACGTTGTTGAGTTGAGATGAAGTCTCTTATTGGCTATCCTGGCACAACAAACACAATGGTGTTCGTAACAGTCACAGAAGCCTACATGAAATGGCATGTTATATGTATAGTTGGCAGTCCTGTTCTTGGAACTTGACAAAACTGGCGCTGACAAGTCCAAAGGATGGAGCTTGTTCAAGAACTCTGTATCTTTCATGATATTTCCAATGTCTTCGAAAGACACAGTCAGGTTCCAGCGATGGGGTTCGAATATATATCTCACAAGATTATGATCCTTACCCATGCCAAAAACTGCCAAGTGTTGTAAAGTCTTATTCTTCACTGACTCCGCGACTTCGTATGTCTTATTTTTAAATCGGGCGCCCATTTCATAAGTCTTGTTCTTGATGTGAGCCCCAACATTACCAATGTTCATCCAGTCTTTGAACATGCCATCTTTTTTTAACGTTACATTTTCTTTATTCACAAGTTGGGTAAAAAGAGCTGTTCTATTAATAATATCACTCTGATTCCGTGGAAGCTGTGGCGGCGGATCCAAAACCAGATTTGGTTTTTGAATGACTTCATGTCTGGCAGGAGTATAAACCCTGATGGGTGGTGGTTCAGCGGCCTTGACCTTCTGGTAAGAGACAACGCTTCCAACTGGGCCGTAGTTGATATAATCCTTGGCACGTTTATCTGAAACAACCAGAATTGGTGTAATTAAGTGTTGACATCTCTAGTTTTACATTCAACATGTTAACAAGGTTTCATCATGTTTCATCATCATCTATCTATATTTAGTAAGTGCTAAATTTCACAACACTGAATCCTCTTTCTTGAATTCGCAGTGTAAAACATACGTGGTATGAAGCTGTAGTGGTAAAAACAGGAAAATGTCTAACAAACATGCTGAACTTGGAGGTTGAACACAAAGATTTTCCTGTAGTGCATTGTCATAAGTTGAAACTCTCGATCTCTATCTGAAGAAAACGTGTCAAAAAGTTCACTAAGACCTTCAGTCACTGGCTTCAGAGAGCACAAATCAGGTCCCTATGACCTTCACTATCTATCATTAGATGGGGCAAGTCAGGTCACTGTGACCTTCAGTAACTAGCTTTAGATAGGGCAAGTCAGGTAACTGTGACCTTCAGTCACTGACTTTTGATGGGGCAAGTCAGGTCACTGTGACCTTCAGTCACTGGCTTTAGAAAGGGCAAGTCAGGTCACTGTGACCTTCAGTCACTGGCTTTAGAAAGGGCAAGTCAGGTCACTGTGACCTTTAGTCACTGCTTTAGATAGGGCAAGTCAGGTCACTGTGACCTTCAGTCACTGCTTTAGATAGGGCAAGTCCGGTCACTGTGACCTTCAGTCACTGGCTTCAGATAGGGCAAGTCAGGTCACTGTGACCTTCAGTCACTGGCTTTTGATGGGGCAAGTCAGGTCACTGTGACCTTTAGTAACTAGGTTTAGATAGGTTGAGTCAGGTCACTGTGACCTTCAGTCACTGGCTTCAGATAGGGCAAGTCAAGTCACTGTGACCTTCAGTCACTGGCTTCAGATAGGGCAAGTCAGGTCACTGTGACCTTTAGTCACTGCTTTAGATAGGGCAAGTCAGGTCACTGTGACCTTTAGTCACTGGCTTTTGATAGGGAAAGTCAGGTCACTGTGACCTTCAGTCACTGGCTTCAGATAGGGCAAGTCAGGTCACTGTGACCTTTAGTCACTGGCTTTTGATAGGGAAAGTCAGGTCACTGTGACCTTTAGTAACTAGCTTTAGATAGGGCAAGTCAGGTCACTGTGACCTTCAGTCACTGGCTTCAGATAGGGCAAGTCAGGTCACTGTGACCTTCAGTAACTATCTTTAGATAGGGAAAGTCAGGTCACTGTGACCTTCAGTCACTGGCTTCAGATAGGGCAAGTCAGGTAACTGTGACCTTCAGTCACTGACTTTTGATGGGGCAAGTCAGGTCACTGTGACCTTTAGTAACTAGCTTTTGATGGGGCAAGTCAGGTCACTGTGACCTTTAGTAACTAGCTTTTGATAGGGCAAGTCAGGTCACTGTGACCTTCAGTCACTGGTTTTTGATGGGGCAAGTCAGGTCACTGTGACCTTTAGTAACTAGCTTTAGATAGGTCGAGTCAGGTCACTGTGACCTTCAGTCATGGGCTTTAGATAGGGCAAGTATATAGTAAATTATTTTTAACTATTTTATGTGTATCGCAATATTTGGCCTGTGACCTTATCATATGATGTGCATGACATCTGAACTTGACCGATATGTTATGTGTATCACATTATCTGACAAATAATATCATGAGTATCACATGATCAGAACTTGATCCAAATTATATGTAAAGGTCAGATTATGTGATACGCATGATATCATTTGTCATCACATTATGACAAATGATATGTGTATCACATAATCAAAACTTGATCAATATGTTTTATGTATCACATTATGACAAATGATATCATGCGTATCACATTATCTGACCTTTGACCTGATACATATCACAATTACTGACCCATTATACAACACAAAAGTAATCTGATCAACTTATCACTATGACAGCAATAATTAACTCACTCCAAAGAACAAATATTTTAACAGCTTGGTCTAGTCTGCCCCCTGGACAGGAGATAGGAGTCTTTATCTCTACCCTCAGGGACTCTCCTCAAGGAGTGCAACCACCTAACCTAACATGGAGTCAACTTCAAGGTCCGTGAGTGAGTGAGTGAGTGAGTGGTTGAGTGGGTAGGTGGGTGGTTGAGTGAATGAGTGTGTCCACCCAAAGACAACATTGAAACAAGAAGCTGGGGTGAGTGAGTGAGTGAGTGAGTGAGTGGTTGAGTGGGTAGGTGGGTGGTTGAGTGAATGAGTGTGTCCACCCAAAGACAACATTGAAACAAGAAGCTGGAGTGAGTGAGTGAGTGAGTGAGTGAGAGAATGAGTGAGTGAGTCCCCTCAAAGACAACATTGAAACGAGAAGCTGGAGTGAGTGAGTGAGTGAGTCCCCTCAAAGACAATATTGAAACGAGAAGCTGGAGTGAGTGAGTGAGTAGGTGGTTGAGTGAGTGAGTCCCCTCAAAGACAACATTAACACAAGAAGCTGGAGTGAGTGAGTGAGTAGGTGGTTGAGTGAGTGGTTGAGTGAGTGAGTGAGTGAGTGAGTGAGTGAGTGAGTGAGTGAGTGAGTGAGTGAGTGAGTGAGTGAGTGAGTGAGTATTGAGCAAGCAAGCGAGCACAGACTTGGCTACCAGTTGGCTCCCATTAATAAAATTAGCTTGGTGACTAAAATATATTGAAAGAAACTGGATTACTTCACCACTTGTCTCTATCGACATCAGATACTGAAGCCTATCCTGCTTCTCATGCTATCATCTACAAGAGTTTGTGTACTTCTGGTCATGTGACCACTTCTGTTTACTTTAACAATGGTGGCATGTCCAAGTCATAGAAGATTAATTCACCATTTGTTCAAGAGCCATCTTTTAGCCAAGCTGTCCATCACAGATTGATGACATGAATAACATAACAATGGCTACTTCTGCCAGCAGACCTAGAAGGCGTTTATTAGATGCAGATGTGGGTGGGCATAGCGTAATCAGAGAATTCAGCACTGGGATGTGAGACAACCCAGATTACTTCGGCTATGAATGTGTCTGATAATAATAAATGCTAATTGGCTAAGCCAGTTCCAATGATGGCCCTTCCACAAGGGTAAGTCAGAGTTACCGATACCGTATTCGACGTAATAAGCGCCCACGGCGATATTTGTTAATATATTGGCTGGTGAACGATCCCAATTAGGTCCTTGATTCAGGTTGCCCTGACGACACATGGAAGACAACAACAGATGGTCAGCGCTTCCTCTGCATTGATGGACGAGATCTGCTTTGCAACAGATTTGAATTTGTGCCACTTGCAACAGCTGACATCACTGTATATGGATGGTACGTTCTACTCGTGTCCAGCCCTCTAGATGGTACGTTCTACTCGTGTCCAGCCCTCTGGATGGTACGTTCTACTCGTGTCCAGCCCTCTGGATGGTACGTTCTTCTCGTGTCCAGCCCTCTGGATGGTACGTTCTACTCGTGTCCAGCCCTCTGGATGGTACATTCTACTCGTGTCCAGCCCTCTAGATGGTACGTTCTACTTGTGTCCAGCCCTCTAGATGGTATGTCCTACTCGTGTCCAGCCCTCTAGATGGTACGTTCTACTCGTGTCCAGCCCTCTGGATGGTACGTTCTACTTTTGTCCAGCCCTCTAGATGGTACGTTCTACTCGTGTCCAGCCCTCTAGATGGTACGTTCTACTTGTGTCCAGCCCTCTAGATGGTACGTTCTACTCGTGTCCAGCCCTCTGGATGGTACGTTCTACTCGTGTCCAGCCCTCTAGATGGTACGTTCTACTCGTGTCCAGCCCTCTAGATGGTACGTTCTACTCGTGTCCAGCCCTCTGGATGGTACGTTCTACTCGTGTCCAGGCCTCTAGATGGTACGTTCTACTCGTGTCCAGCCCTCTAGATGGTACGTTCTACTCGTGTCCAGCCCTCTAGATGGTACGTTCTACTCGTTTCCAGCCCTCTAGATGGTACGTTCTACTCGTGTCCAGCCCTCTAGATGGTACGTTCTACTCGTGTCCAGCCCTCTAGATGGTACGTTCTACTCGTGTCCAGCCCTCTGGATGGTACGTTCTATTCGTGTCCAGCCCTCTGGATGGTACGTTCTACTCGTGTCCAGCCCTCTAGATGGTATGTTCTACTCGTGTCCAGCCCTCTGGATGGTACGTGCTACTCGTGTCCAGCCCTCTGGATGGTACGTTCTACTCGTGTCCAGCCCTCTGGATGGTACGTTTTACTCGTGTCCAGCCCTCTAGATGGTACGTTCTACTCGTGTCCAGCCCTCTGGATGGTACGTTCTACTCGTGTCCAGCCCTCTGGATGGTACGTTCTACTCGTGTCCAGCCCTCTGGATGGTACGTTCTACTCGTGTCCAGCCCTCTGGATGGTATGTTTTACTCGTGTCCAGCCCTCTAGATGGTACGTTCTATTCGTGTCCAGCCCTCTGGATGGTACGTTCTACTCGTGTCCAGCCCTCTAGATGGTATGTTCTACTCGTGTCCAGCCCTCTGGATGGTACGTGCTACTCGTGTCCAGCCCTCTGGATGGTACGTTCTACTCGTGTCCAGCCCTCTGGATGGTACGTTTTACTCGTGTCCAGCCCTCTAGATGGTACGTTCTACTCGTGTCCAGCCCTCTGGATGGTACGTTCTACTCGTGTCCAGCCCTCTGGATGGTACGTTCTACTCGTGTCCAGCCCTCTGGATGGTACGTTCTACTCGTGTCCAGCCCTCTGGATGGTATGTTTTACTCGTGTCCAGCCCTCTAGATGGTACGTTCTACTCGTGTCCAGCCCTCTGGATGGTATGTTTTACTCGTGTCCAGCCCTCTAGATGGTACGTTCTACTTGTGTCAAGCCCTCTGGATGGTACGTTCTACTTGTGTCCAGCCCTCTAGATGGTACGTTCTACTCGTGTCCAGCCCTCTAGATGGTACGTTCTACTTGTGTCAAGCCCTCTGGATGGTACGTTCTACTCGTGTCCAGCCCTCTGGATGGTACGTTCTACTCGTGTCCAGCCCTCTAGATGGTACGTTCTACTCGTGTCCAGCCCTCTAGATGGTACGTTCTA